AGTTCTACCACAACTTAAAGGGACATATAATTTTAACATTACGCACACTGTTCTGAAGAAATTTTTTAAAAATAACCAAGTTCCAACTCATTTTATAAAGCTAAAAACTTTGATATCAACAATGTATAAGATAATTCATAAAAGGAAAATCATAGACAAATCTTATTTTTAATACAGATGTAAAAACCCTAAATGGAATGTTAGAAAACAATATCAACAATGTCATGACAAGTAATATATCATGACTAAATATTGTTCTAGGAATACATAGATTATTAAAATTTAGAAATTGTACTAATATAATTTCCACATTAAGAGATTAAAAGAGAAAAACCATATAATCCTCTCAAACGGCACAGAGAAGCATTCAATAAAATCTAACCAATCTCTTAACAAGCTAAAAACAGAGGAAGCTTCCTCAATCTAAGGAGTACTTACTGCAAACCAGCAACAAACACACACTTAATAAGGCATTCTCTTTAAAATTAGGAAACAGACAACTATTATCTCTATCACCACCCCTCCTCCACATTGAACTAGGTGCCTTGGTCTAGTAAGAGAAGAAAGAAGAGATAGAGACAGAGAGGAAGGAAGGAAGGAAGGAAGGAAGGGAGGAAGGAAGGAAGGGAGGGAGGGAGGGAGGGAGGGAGGGAGGGAGGGAGGGAGGGGAGGGGAGGGAGGAAGAAGGAAAGAGAAGAAAATATGTAAAATTGAAACAGAAGGAAAAAACTGTCACTATTCACAGAAAATATAACTGTCAGCATAGAAAAAACACAGATAACTAGAATTAATAACAAAGTTTAGCAAAGCAATGAGATGGCTATAAGATCAATATATAAATTTTTCTATAATTATATAGAATCTAAAAAGTACATTATTTATAACCTAGTAATTCAACTTCTATGTAACTCCCCTAAAGAAACTCTCACAGATATGCATAAGGGATACATAAAGGATTTTCAAAGTTCTATCAGTAGGGGAATCAACTGTGACATTCATATAATAGAATACTATACAGCAGTTACAATAAATGAACTAGGGTCATATGTATCAACATGGATAAATCTAAAAACACAGTGTTGCATAAAAAAGCAAGTTAGAAAAGAGTAGGGGTATGACCTTGAGCAAGTTAATTAACCTCTCTGTAACTCAGTGTCCTTGTTTATAAAATGAGGATGATAATAATAGCACCCACCTTCTACAGTTAGTTCGTGTACTATGCCTCAGGACAGTGCCTGAAAGACAGTAAGTACTTCCTAAGTGTTCGCCATGATGCTTCTGCTGCTGCTAAGACATATACTTTTTAAATGTAAAAACAATTTTATATATTGTTTATGGATGATAATAGCAAAATTACAAAATGGAAATGTCACAATAATAGTTAAGTCTGGAAAAAGGAGGGAGAAGAACGAAGTGGAGTATCTATATCTATAATATATGTATTTATCAGTAAGAGATATCTGAAGTAAATATAGCAAAAAGGTAACATATTTAAATCTAGGTGGTAGATGTGTGTGTGGCTTTGTTATATCATTTTCTATATTTGTGTATGTTTGAAATATTTCATAAAAAATTTCAAAGAAAAGGATTGGAACGAGATGTTTCAAGATGTTAATAGCAACACATTTGGATTTATGAATGTGAATGTTCTTTGTTTCCTTGAATAGAGTTTTCTGAATTTTCCAAATTTTCTACAATGAGAATGTATTTCTTTTATAATTAGACAAAAATAATATTTTAAAGCACAGATAAAATCCTTTTAATATTGAAGTCACCAGAGGTTTGCTTCATCTAAATTAATCTTCATTTAGATTCCTCTAATCCAAACCAAATCTCTCTATATTAAAAATTGCATAACTTTGATTGTAGAGCATTTGATTTATTATACCAAAATTTATATTTACAAAATATAAATAAGCATCCTTTTCTAATTCACAAATAATTTATGAATTTTTTCACCATCTTTATTGTAATAAAATGTCATTCCCTATAAATTTCACATTCCTGATACAGTGGGGGAAAGGGTACCACGGATCTCTGGATATATTCCTTAGAAAACCCACAAAATGACACCATCACAGACCTTGTCTAATCTCCCCTATTTGATGTTTCATATCTAAAAGTACATCTAATCTGAAAACAGAACTGATCTTCGGAGACCTTGTAATTTATCTTTTACCATGATTACAATTTCTAATCTAACCAGCAGCAGTTCAAACTGAACTCTGATCCAAATGATCAATAGCTGTGCGCGACCCATTGGATGTGCGAATATTAAATCGTTTTTGGATAAGGGCTGTCCAAATGAAAAGCATATAATTACCATCTATTAACATACATTGAAGCAAATAACACAAAAATGCAAAATGTGTCACATACAGACTATCAGAATTCCAGTGACTATGATGCTAAGGTTAGATCTTATATTTTACATATGGATTTGTACCAAATTATGATTTATGTCTTTAACTGTTTATTATTAAAAATGCTGGCCTTAAGCCACAAAATGGGTAAATCTGTGAATAAAACACATTTAATTTCTGATTCCATTTTTTTGTGTGTGTGTCTCTGCTTTCTTAACATAAAATTTCCCTACTTACTTGTAGGAAGTAACCATGGATAATTAAATCAGTTTGATAAGAAAATAATTCCAAATATCTAGCTTACTTTTCATGTTTTCCCTTGCAAACAAAAAGCCTATATAGTTATAGAAGCATAAAATTGTATAAAGAATAGAACTTACAGAAAAATGAGTCCGATCTCCTACCTTGAGTATCTTAGAGAACAGCAATAAAGTTCTCTAAACATCCCATGGTAGCTCCTTCCAATATTTAACAATGCAGTCTTTGGAAACTTTTCTTTATGAAAACCTAAATCCCTGGTGTTCTAAGGTAAACCTAGACAAGTAACATTTTATGGCATATTTCCCAGTCTCCCTTGCAGTTAGCTGAAGGTTTTGTGACTGTATCCAAGACAGTAGGATATAAGAAAGATGATGTAATCTACTTCCAGATTTGTCCTTCAAAACATTTCATGTGAAGATGGATGTTAGCTGAACCTATTGTGGTCATCATTTCACAATATATGTAAATCAAATCATCATGCTGTATGCCTTAAACTTATATAGTGATGTATGTCAATTATTTTTCAATAACACTGGAAAAAAAATCTCAGGCATCTCCTCATTGCTGTGGTAAGGCTACATGTTCCAATACCATAGCTGTAAGAGGCAGGAGTATCACCCAGGGCCAAAAATAAATTTATAGTGAGCCTCTGAGGTTTCTGGGTTTGCTTAAGACTACATCATAGGCCAACCTATTCAGGTTCAGACACTTGCTGAAGGTCTTTTCAGATTCGAGCATAATGAGACAAAACTTCCAGCATTCATTCCCATTTCCAACCCCTCCCACTACCATCCCCTGGCCCTTCTTTTCATTCAAATGTGCTGTAATTCAGGATTGGCATCCTGTCCTCGTGGTCCCTATATTTTTCTTTCTCCCCCCAGCCACTAGTCCTTCCTCCTTTGTTTCTTTGTTTTTTCCAAATCCTAAATTTTACCTCTGAAACCTCATTCTCTCTCTTGGGCCAGAAGTGGGTTGGACAAGCTGTTCTTAGCTGTCTGTGCATCTCAAGGTATGGAGGGGATAATTCCCTCTTCCTCATCCTCTTCCCACCAGACCCTGGAGATACGATACGGAAGCCTCTTGTGAGAAACACTATGCAACAGTCTTTAACCTGGGCAGGACCTGAAGGTCAGACAAGTTAGGTCTTCTGCTTCAGCAGATTTCAGCCTTGCTGGAAAGAGGAGTATGAAGCCCCCTTTTCTGGTCTTCTTGGGGCAGGGCTAAGACTTTACATCACTGTCTTTACTTCTCCTACAACTGCTTCACTGGTGAAGGTACTTCCAAGAAAGCCTATTCAAAATACACAGAAATCTAAATAACATCCACCTTCCAGTTCCTGTTTTAGTGCTTTAACTTCCTGAGTGATTGTTTGATGAGATTTCCCCATTGTCTTTGCATTAGGTTTCCTTTTTTTTTTTAATCTTTTTACATAGGAACCATTTCAACAGACCTGCCATGTAGAACTAGTCTTTCAAGCAAGATAAAGATCAGCCTGACCTTTCTTACATCAATTAATCAATACTGTTTCACCACAGATTTACCTTTTAACCTTGGTGTTTCCACAGTGCAATATCAAAGCATGTTTGTGAGCTTGCTCCATTTTATATATGGTTAAGAACAACCCTCTGTCTGTGTGCTTTGATAAAGTGTCAGAGCATAACGCAGCACAAGAGGAAAAGGGGGCTTTTATTGTCTTCATCAAGAATGGCTTTGTAAATCTAAAATGGGAGCAGCAATACCAGCAAAGCCGGCTGATTGAAATTAACTACAGGCCTCTATTGGCAGATTCATGCTGCTGGAAAGGCCATTGTCAGGGAATGCTCTCAAGGGTGGAATCTTTTGATCTGCATTTCAGATAAGAATATGTGTCTGTTGCCAGTATCAATACCCCATCACTGAAGCTTATCCCCAAGAGAAACAAGAAGGGTTTGCTCCACTGTGTTCTGAACCTACAATTGCCACTATCCTTACTGCTTTAACCTGTTTCATAGGTGAAGAATTTAGAGAGGGCAAAGACCGTGAAGTATCTCAGAATACGATCAAGTCCTTTCACTGAAGCCACTTCATGGCAGAGAACACTACTGTTGTGTCCTCTGTGAGGTCTCTGTGGACAGAAAGAGTTCCCCACCAGACCACAATGTGCTTAAGTGCCTGTCTCATAAAAGAACTGTAGAATCTCTTTTTGCACATCATCCATCCCTTTTGTTTTACACAGAAGAAACTGAGCCCCAGAAAATGACATGTTTTAACCCAGATTCCCCAGATATTTAGTGGTAGCCTCAGACCTTAGAAACCAGCACAGTTTCTTCCCCAAATGTCAAGCTGTCACATTAGTTCTTAAAGCATTTAAATGTGTGATGATATTTGCAAACTTACCACTTCCTCAGAAGCCAATAATAAAACTTCGTGTGGAGGCTGCACTTTTCCTCGGGGCTTCTCAGCAGTGCTCGGTTTTCACCTGGCCATCTAGACGTACCACCTTAAATCAAGAAAATTCATATTACAGTCCTGCCATTTACCAGCTCTGTGATATCTGGCAAGATATTTAACCTCTCTGTGTCTTACTGATCTCTTGGACAAATAAAATATCTCACAGGGCTATCTGGAGGGTTGAAAGAATTAATACCTACTAAGCACTAAAAACAGTATCTAGCACATAATAAGCACAATATAAGTGTTAGCTCATATTATTCCTTCCATTCCTTTCTCAGATTATTCAGTGAATCTGGGGTATCACTCCACAGTTTTGTGATATTTTGTTCCTTCATAAATTCTAAGTGTTTTATAATTCTTGATTCCTTCACAGTGAATATACTGTAGAGTTACTCTAGCTCATTTTGAACACAAACAGGGGGCATTTGGAAAAGGTGCCTTTTTATATACACTGGAAAAAAAAAAAAAACACCAACATCTATCATTGCACTCACATTTTGATTCTTTTTGAGTAATTCACAGACTTAAGCTATCTCATTCCCAGGAAATGGAACCAAAGGTTGCTGACTGAAATTTCACTGTGCTTTCAACCTTTGAAGTATGAGAAGCACCATGGAATGCCAAGATCAAGTACTCTGTGGTCAGTGCACAAAGTAAACTTTATTATGGATTTTATAATGTTCCCAATGGAGATGCAATCATTAAGTTTCCTTTTAATAACAGAGCAGTACTTTTCTCTTGAACCTGGTTTGACCAATCATTAAATGTGTCTGGTCAAGGAATGCGCTTGGATAATATGAGATCCCAGGCTATAATCAAACAAAGAGTTGACTATCTTTGTTTCCTTAGATTTAGCTAAATGAAACTTCCTATTCTAAGGAAGCCTCTTTAAATGATATGTGCTTCTTAATAAATAAAGTGCTGCTGATTCAACTATAAATTAATTTTTGGTATGAAATTTGAAATTACATGATGGTTTAAATAATATGGAGGAAGGGTAAAATTAAGTGGAAAAATCATGTTTAGCAAAACATAGCTTAGACTTGCTTAGTTTCCAAATTGAGGTTAATTGTTTAAGGACCCTAAAGACATTATCTTCTTAGTGGTAGCTGGCCATTACTTTTCAGCACCTAGTAAGATGCGTGTGAGTGTGTGTATGTGTGTGTGTGTGTGTGTGTAAATGGTGTAACCCAACTGCACAGCATAAATAATCATTTGGCAAACTGATGTAGAGTATATGGAAAGACAATACTACTCCAATGTTTTCTTTGTGGGGCAATATAAGAATTTTGTTTAAAACAAAGCAGTAGCTATGTATTGTTTAGTAAGTTTTCTCTTTCTTTTTTTTGAATGGGGACACACATTCATGAAGGGTCAGACTATCAATTCCTTTCAATATTCCCCAAAACAAACCTATCAAGCATATGTTGCATAGTTTTCCCTTTTTCCCACTGAGGCCTGAGGAGACATCGGCATTATACCCCTGGCCACTCTGGCACTGACCACAGAGGGACAAAGACTGAAGGAGACTGAAGTCCCACCTGGTCACAAAAGTCAGGTGATGCCAAGGCTTAGCTTCCATAACCTTCTCCTTTCCTTTCATTTGAGATTCTTCCTAGCGGAGGGTTTGTCATTTTCAGGAGGAGATTACTTTAGCAAATGAGCTCTAAGAACAATGAGCTTGAGGTTTAAAATAAAATTCAAGGATGTTCTTAATAAGGTTGTATACTGTTAATCCATGGTTTTCTGCCAAGTAGTATCTCAAATGCCTCTTTAGGGATTTATTCTACTTTAGAAAGATGTCAGATATAAATATTTAAGTATATAGAGATTTTGTCTTTGACCTAATGAATTTACATTTTGTTTAGATAGTAGTCTTAGAAATGTGATTATTATAGAATGGATAGACACTGGAATGCAAAGAAAAGCAATAAAGTCACATTATTTTTTTGCCTAATGGAGTTCTCAAAGATTAAAAGGCCTGATAACCATTAGTGTGGGCGTGTAAAATGGTCATTCTCATACATTGCTAGGAGGAGTATAATTTGATCCTTTCTTTAAGGGAAGGAATTTGGCAATATACATTAAGAGCCAGAGAAGGGTATAAACACCAACCCATAAGTCCCACTTCTAGGGAATTATGCTAAGGATATAATTGGCCAATAGCACAAAAATGTATATGCAAGAGTCTACAGCTTATAAAAGTAGAAAACCGGAAAAAAAAAGTATCCAATAACAAGGATTATTTAAACAGGTACCTTTATACGATGGAATGCTACGTAGCTGATAGACATGATTACGTAGACGTACGTTTACCAATTTGGAAAGATAGTTCTGAATGATCATTAAGTAAAAACAGCCCATTATAAATCAAACTCTAATATGATACTGCTATAAGAGGGAAAAATAGTATATGGATAGGTATGAATTGAAGACACGCACTAAAATGTTATCTATGATTGTCTTTGGATATTGAGTATTTATTTTTTATTTATATTTCCTAATGTCTCTACAATTAATATGCATTACTTGAGTATAAAAAATAAAGAATGGGATATATTTTTGAAGGGAATTAATGGTGTTTGGAGATATAATGATGTCATCATATTTTTTCAACTTACTGGAATGAAAATAGTTTCATTCCATATAATTTGCGTGTTATCATGAGGAACATTTTTTTTTAAAGACTCTACTTGGAGAAATCAGAACTACAGAGAGAAGGAAAGGGAATGGAGAGGAGAGGAGAGAGAGAGGGGGAGGGAATGATTGAATTTAATGCAATGGTGCTTTTGCAGGCTTGAAACTGTCAGATCTAAGTTGAACTCCTGGCTATTACCCTTAGGTTTGTTTAAACTTGTAAAAACCACTTTAGTCCCTTAAGTTTCAAGATTTTAACCTGTAAATTGAGAGTCAATAATATTCACAGGACTATTATGAGGATTAAGTAAGAGGTATAAATCAAAGTGTCTTGCTCAAAAAGGGTATGTGATAAATACCTAGAGTGAGTGGGTAATATATACTGGACACAGAGTTACGTACTTTATGTACATTATTACATTTGTAATATGTCACAACAACCCTAACACACAGGCATTTTACCTCCATTTTGCAGATGAGGAAATAGAGTTGTAGGGAATTTAAGAAACTTGCCCAAAGCCAGAGAGCTGGAAAGAGAGATGGGGATTGGCATGAAACTGCCCAAAATGGAAGCTCCATATTAGATAGTAACAAACCAGGTCCTCAGTCCCTCCATCCATCCCCCTCTCCCTCCCCTACTCCTGCACGCCCTCTCTCCAAAAAAGAGAAAAGCAGATCACTTAAACTGAAATTTGTATCCTTAAAAAGGCTGAGTTGTTCAAATTCTTCATAAAACTCATTTCATTCTACAAGCTAGTCTTGAAAACATTCAAGTCCAGAGGAAAGATAGCTGAAAGACAATACATGCTATTTCTTATATATTCTGTATAAGCTTCCCTTTCTGAAGTTAATCTTTTATGTTTTATTTTTCATTGCAAATTTAATCTGATCCTGATACCCAAATACCTACTGTATTTCCTACAAATATTCTCTAATACAGTCCCAAAGGATAACTTTCTGGGTTTTTTTGTGTCGTTTTCTTTTTCAACTCAGCCTGTGCTTTTTTACACTGGAATACTTTTTTTATCTCCAATCTGTTCAAAAATAAAGCTACTTCTAGAATATAGAAATCTTAACTCCAAAATAACATGAATTAAAATAAAAGATTTGATTCAGACCCAAATATTCTGTATGTAGTCTATCATTTTTTTATTTTCATTATAAACTGTATGTAAATAAGTATATGCATAATCATGATTCAGAGCTTCAGAAGGGTTGTTATGTATCAGACAAATGGCCAAGCACAATCACAGCTAGCATGTACCATGAAATACGGCTGTGACATTACTGTGGTAGTACATTAAAATCAAAGCCATTGCATAAGACCTATAAGAATTCATCAGTCAACATGATGCTATCTAACAGTTCCCAGACCACAAGCTCCGCCATCATATGAACCACGGCAATATGCATTATCATAAAAAGGAGCAATTAAAATCCTTTTAGGACACTCTGTATTAGGTTGCTTCTGATAGCTAGGCTTCTGGAGAAATATGTTCTATTCTTCTGCTACTTCACTCACATTCTTTATGTTATCTATAAACCCCATCCTAAAGTCCCTTACAATTTCTGCATATTGAAATTATACTCATCATCTTTGCACATGGCATTTCTTTCATGGAACCTGTCCTGTTGCCTTGTGAAAGAGATTTCTTCCTCCTCTGCACCCAGGTAGCAACTTATCTCTCAGGTCACTTGCACTGTACTTGCCCTATAGGACTACAATCCCTTAGAGGGAAATTTGGGGACTTCTGAAAAGTAATACCATAGCACGGACCATATATGACACAGCACATCCAGCAAGCAGTGAGGTGCTCAGTGGGTCACAAATGACCTTGTTAATAATGCAATCATCTTCATTGTACCCTTAGAAGAAGAAAGAAATCTGTACACAAATAAAAGGAAAAGCCTTCTTTACCCCCAAAGCCAGAATCTCCTGCGTGAGGAGAAAAGGCTTCTTCAATATGCTCAGAGGCCTGGTATTCAGAGTCAATCATTTCTTCCACACTAATCACTTGAGAAGAGATTATATGAGTTGAGCACGAGGGGGCCGTGAATACCCTCAGATCATACAACTTCATACAACAAAATAAGCATGAGGCAAAGAGCTCTGTAAGTACCTAGATTAAGTCTCCCAACAATTGGCAAATTACTAATAACAGGCCTTTTGTTCCTTTTGCAAGCGGTCAAAATAATGAATAATAGAGTGTTATGCCAAGTCGACTAACAGCCAGTTCACGTGAGATCATTTAAAACAGGAGAAAATGATGCTTGAAAAGGTCCCTGATGAGATTTTGCTTTTTCCTAAGAGACTCTAGATAGCATTCTGCAGCAGCATTTTAAAAACCACTTTCCAAAATTGTGCACCCTCATTATCATGCATTATATTTGTACTCTCCACTTAGGTTG